TTGCTAATAGGAGTAATCATCCTGGGTAACTACGCTAGCTGTAGTCTTCCTAGACTTGGGTGGCAGGGGAGTTCCCCTTGGAGCCAGGAGGAGGAAGGAACGTCTGCTAGCTACTAGCCCTCTCAGTTGTGTCTTGGGCAGATGCAAAAGTGAAAATGAAGTCATTATTTGGAATGGGGATTTTCAGTGTAGAATACAGACTGCCCAGCATATGCTGAGCAGCGGGGTGTCTGGTATCATCTCTACATTGCACTAAAGACCAGTTTTCTCTCTCACTTTACTGACAAGAAATCTATCTGAAACCTGGTGTGTTCTGCACCACTAGAATTACTACTTCTATAGGTCTGCATACATGTAATCTCACTGTTGTGCTCAAATGCATGTTCTTAGTATATAAAATATTTCTCTAGCAGAGAGTAAAATACTGCAGTAAATGGCAACTAGGCACAGGGCTGTGCTTTTGTGCCACTGATTCTTGTTATTGTCTCACTACACAAATTTGTAAACATGTTGGGTATGGCCCTGGGATTTCTTTATTGTAAAAGTACAGTGACATTACTTATGGCTGCTGGACTTCTGAAATTCCTTTAAAAATACCCTACTTTTAAATATGTATATGTAAAATATAGCCAGGGAGAACAAAGGTTTCAGACCTTGAAATGTTTGTTATTAATGGTTTTCAATAAAAATAAACACTCTCTCTTTTCTCCTACTACAGTTGAGTAATCAGTTCAGGCACCTGTTGTCTTTCTGCTCTAAATTATGGGGGTCACTTTCCCCAGTCTGTTAGTCCCAAAGCCATAAGGAGTAGTGCCTTTTTCTGCTAAGAAAATTGATCACTTCAGAATAATATTTTTGCTTTGAATATATTCTTTCAATGAGACTGGTAATAAAGTTCTGAGTTGGAGACAGTAACCGATAATCCTGGGATACAGACAGTGTAAGTAGATATGTTTGGGAGGATTCATGCTTCTGAGATTCATAACTCCCGGCTGATTGTTACGTCTGAAAGCACAGCTATTTACGGTTATCAGAATTTCTTCCTCTGAATAGGTGTGCAAGCCAAGTGAAAACATGTCTCTGAATAAGTAAGAATGTTCTGCCTTAATAGTACTTACCTTTGGAAACTTGTTAAACAAATGAAATTCATCAGCACGGGCTTAGCATCCTATTGTCATGTTCTGGTTAGGGGAGAGCGGGACCTTCACTGCAGAGGAATGATTCAAGGAATTACTAGCAGTTATCACTCCCCTGCTGCCTAGCAGACTATTTTGGAAGAGCTTTTGCCGGTTAACGTGCTGTGCTGTGTATGTAGGCAGTGACCATACGCAGTGCATGTTGTGTGTGATGGTGCTGTGATGGCAAAGATGGCCTCTTGCTGCCCAGGGGTTTGCTGAAATAGTCACCCACAGCTCTTACATTGCCTCTGTCATCAGGAATGTTGGGCCCTTGCAGTGGCAGCTACTTTTTATTTAGGTTTATTTAACACAGACTCCTTTACATAGTCATTCTCACTTCCTATTGCCATTGCTCTACCAGTAGGATCTCTTTTGGATGTTTAATGAAAGGAAGTGTTAAACCTAATAAAAGGCAGCTGCCACTGCAAGGGCAGAAGAGTCCTGAAAGCAGAGGCAATGTAAGAGGTGTGGGTGACGTATTTCGAGACTTGTCTTACCCATCTCGGCTATGTGTCACCTATTCATCATCGTATTGGAGCAGCTCATAACCATTAATCTCTTTACTTACTGGAAAGGATGATACTTGGAATGACACTGATTTTTCAGATGAAATTTGAGGAACAAGGGAAATGGCTTTGCCATTATCAAGTGCACAAGCAGTGGTGGACCAGGACCTCAAAGTCAATGCTCCAGGCTTCCAGGGGACCTTTCTGCTCCATCTAGTCTTGCCTCGGGGATTGCTCTTCTCAGCTGCATGCCTCCCTCCTGCTTCAGAGCAGTGGTAAGGCCAAGCGTTAGCTAGTTCCAGCTCTCTTTGATAGCTGGACATAGCCTATTTAGGAGAGGTCAACATTTGAGTACAAGGAGTTTAAAAGGGCCGATACTATGACCTTGATGGTGTTTTCAAACACCTCTGCAGAAGGAAGTAGAAAGCTGTGAAAGACGTGAGCTAAGCTGCTTGCTTGTCATGTCCCTAGGTACTGTTGGCAGTAACCAAGGTGCTTCTCAAATTACGTGGGCCGAGATGGTGAATTCAGGATGGGTCATAAAAACCTACCCATTGCCATTTTCCTTTTTATTCTCATGGCAGTTAGGAAGGTCCTCAGAGCCACTGGGAGCTACAACGTGGTCACCAACCAAAATCGGTGGCAGGTTGTATAACAAACATCAAGGGCAGAGCCTCTGGTACACAATCATTGTGAGGCTTGCATGCCTGCTTCCAAGGCTGACATGAGATGTAGCTAGTGCACAGCCTCTGTGATAGCTCTGCCTGCAGAAGTGGAGAGGCTATAAATGTAATTTCTGAGAAGCCACTGGCTGGGTGCCTGTTCCCACCCCTCTTCCACCCATTTTGGAGTTAGTTTAATGAGGAGTTTATAGCTCCAGTGTTTGTGTTGGCATTTGTGTATGTGCTGTTCTTGTGAGAACCCATCTTTTATTTAGATGGCATTTTTCCAATCTGTTACTCATCAACATGAATTGGTATCTCCTGCTGAAACAGATGTTATCTTTCAAGTATGCCTCTGGACTCTATTATTGCTTCGAATGTGGCAGAACCCTAATTTATCTTAGATTTTCCTCGCTGTTTGAGATTTCAGCCAAAGAAATGTCTTGATTCAGAAAACCAACAGTGGTATGTTATATTAACTTTTTTCTTTGAGGTTTATAAATTAAGGCAATTCAGCAAAGCACTTAGAAAAGCCTGCTGCTTTTCAAGCAAAGCCTTAAAGCATCCACTTAAAGCCAGATGTCCACCTTCATGGCTCTGATTCAACAGAATACTTGAACAAATGCTTCACACTAATCTCTACAGTCTAGTAGTCATAAAATCCATCCAACTCTGTGTCTACGTCAAGCCAAAACTAGAACACATAAATGCATCAGAGCTGCTCAGTGGATACTCCATTATTTTGACACCAGCGTCAACAGAAACTTCCATTATTTTCCCACTTTTAGAATTATATTCAATTAACGGATCATGATGGAAGAGTGTGATTATGAGAAGCATATACCATGTACAACTTCAGAAATTATCCACTTGATATACAGATTTTAAGGGACTTTGGCTGTGTCCTGTTTGTACCTCATCTGCAGTAACATTCATATGGAGGAAAAAGTCAGTTAACTTTGAGAAGCTTGAATTAATGCAGAGCTACAACAGAGCTTTCCATCTCTGAGGTTTAACAGCATTTCGTGTAGATTATCTGGAGCTGAGCTCTGTAGTGCCACAGACTCCCCTAATTTCACAGCCAGTTGTCTTATGACTGGCTACTGATGCTATCAAAAAGTACCTGCCTTTTTGTACTTGTAAACAGTGATTTCGCATTTTTATACCTTGACCCTGTTCTGCTCCTTGACATGGTAGCTTCTGACACTCTGATACTCAGCTATCCTGTGTCTGATGACTTTTTTACCCCCTAGTGCTGGAGAAAAAGTTTACAAGAACGGCTGAATAGGGAGCAGGGGACAGGGATGTTTGTGGAGACAGTGATACAGACAGTAACAGGCACAGAAATGTATAGTTTTGTGGGTATCTGTAGCCAGACAGTTACAATGACTTTTGGAAATACAAATTTGTAATTGCCTCCAGATTCAACAATAATTTTACTGGGGGAACTAACAAATTCAGCTTTTTACTGGAAGTGCAAGTTGGAAAGAAAACAGTGATGTTTTCCGAGCATCTCTGTGGTAGTTTTCAACACTGCATGAGTAATCCTCATACTATGAAATATGGCTTGAATTTTTGGTCAGGCTTCACAGACGCTGCCTTTGAAGTTGAATAGGCCATATATCTGCCTCTCTGTATGAAGCGTTGCGTTTTTCTTAGCCTGTGTTACTTCTGTGCTCTGAGAAACTTTGCTTTGGCAATCCCACCATTTCCAGCACTTCATGTAGCTGCGTTTTTGCTCCAGCCTGGGATATGGGATTTGGTATGAGTGGTTCACCACCAGCCTGATGTCTGACATCTCAGCCTTCCCTGTGGCAAAATGAGACTGGAGGATTCGTGCAAACACACAGAGGTTCTCTACTCTGAACAGCAATTACAAATGAGACCTTTGCTGGATGTGATGATCAATAGGAGAGTGTGGGAGGAGGTAACAGCAAGAGGTGAATACACAGCTCGGGAGGCAAGCAGCATGATAGTGAGAAAGACTGGAGTCTTTTTATTGCCTGAAACAAAGTGGTGCTGTTGAAAATTACTTGTTAAGCAGCACTCCTCTTGGTCCCTTTAAACACTGCCTTCCTGTTTGGAAAAATATGTCCCTGGGCCTGTTTAATTTTCTTTAAACAACTTTTTTTTTTTCCTTACATTGCTTTGCCTTTTCAGGCTGATCCTAGCTACCCTGGAAATGACCAACTAGGAGAGTTCTGTTAACGAGATTTTCCAAATTCCTCCTTCTTCAGATAATCCTCCCTCCACCTAGGGAGGAATTTCCAAATTCCTCCTTCTCCAGCAGCAGCTCCTGCTGCTGCTAGCTGGAGGGGAGGAACATCCCCATGCCACTGCACAGCTGGGAGCTGGGAGTGGAGCCTCCTCGGAGGCAGACCCTGCTCACTGCCTCCTTGTCCCCACAACCATCACGCCAGAGGGTCAAATGTCTCATGCCAGCAAAGCTGATGCTCAGGTCCCCCCTGTTCTGCCACAGCCTTGGCCTGGAGACATGAGCCTGGAGAGGGCTGAGCACTGCCCCTCGTCTTGCTTGCTCTCCTTGGCACACCACTGCTTTTCTTAGTGGGGGAAGCTGCTCCTGTCTTCCTCCTGCCCCCCACCGTGAACGTGAGACTCGGGCAGGTTTGGGCCTGCCAGGGAGCTTTTTGGCCATGGTGTTGATGAACATGAGGCCACCAAGCTTGCTAGAGCCAAGAGTCGGTAAGAAGGTCTGAATGGAGATGAGTGCACTGATGCTAAGGTCTCCTTTTGGTGACTCTGCTTTTTCTCTCTCCAAAAGGAGGTGGCCTTACTTCGCACACAGGACGGACGGATAACGCTCGCTGAGCACCTGCTCAGTCATACGACATTTGGCCTCAAGCACCGTTTCAGAGTTCTTCTTGGAGTACCAGCAATTACTTTTTTCCTGGGCCTTTTGACGCTGCTTCTTACCTTGCTCTGCGTGGCCCTGAGCCTTCTTCCCACCCTGTGGGTGGCTACCCCACCTGTCCTCATTCAAGCATCCCATCCTCATCAGCTGGTTGCTCACCATCTCTATCTTCTCCCCCTGCCCGACTCCTTCAGGTTGATCCTCCCATCCCGGCTCTTCCTCCCAACACACCGTGCTTTTTCCTTAGCCCCCGGGGCTACTAACTCTCCCTCCTCTCAGGTCCCTGGGTTGATTTCCAAGCCTGGTCTCCCCGACGGCCCAACCTCCACTCGCTTCTGCGGGTGTCTGCCGGCCTCCCTCTCCCTCCTCCTTCCCGACCCCCACGGGCGAGGGGAGAGCCTCCCACTCTCCTCGCACAACAGGGGGGCAACGCAGCCCTTCGCCGTGGACAAGACACGGGCGGG